CATGCTATCATGAGAATCATTCTCATCCTTCAAGCTCCCATGCAGGCAATCGCCCTAAGCTCCGAGAGAAAGATACACCCGCTATCATGGGTCCCCCTCTTTAAGAACTTAAAGTCTCATTCAAGTTTAAACCCTTTGTTGGAGGGAAACTCTCGAGCTCCTCCCATCTTTTATGCACCACCTGGCCCTTGCTAGGATCCCGGTTCTCGACTGTCTGATCGGGAAACAACTCAATACCTTCTGCTGTCTCGTCATAGTTACCCGTTCGCTCTAAGTTGCAATCCTTTGTCGATGGCTTTCCTGGAATCTAATGCACAGCCGAGACAAACTTCTTGCTTGCAATTCACTAGTCTCTTCGCCTCGGGCCAATCACCGCTTCCCCAAGCTTGTCTCCCTCGGAAGAGATGCCGAACGAAAATATGAACTTTACACCATCCTTAGCATGAGGTTTACTTCTGATGCCCGCCTCTCGTTAGATCGCAATAATCTATCCCATAAGTACGGATGCCTAGTATAATCTTGACAACCATTCTACACTGGACAAAACTGACAATCGCACCGTGAACCTCGTCAATATATGACTCGTGGCCGCAGCCGCAAATCTGGACAGTGCATTGATCAACTACACTCAGTTTCTGCCTCCTTCTGAATCCACCCCAATGCGATAGGCTTCGGATGGTTGACGTTCTTCAGACCCAGCTTTCCTACACAATGCCTCGCGATATCCACGATTCTTCTCACTGTCCGAATCAACCAATGGCATCAACACCAAAACTAATCTTCACTTGCCAACTAAAGAACCAAAAGAGTTGCTCTCTCGGCGTCGTTTGTCTGTTTCGCTGGTCTGCTTCCCCATTCCATTAATGGTTGAGGACATGTTGTTGGGGCTCTGCCATCCCCGGGACTCTTTCGAACTTGAGCTATCATGTATCCTTTTTTCTCCGCCTCCTTTTTCAACCCTCTTGGCCTTGCAGATATAGGTACTTTCTCCCAGCACGATCAGGCTATATACCCCTTTCTTCTCGCAGTGACTACAAATCAGCCCTGGCTTTCCCTGGATCACCCTTCTTCTTCTCCTCCTAGATTTGAGAACCACTAGACTCGCCCCTCCCCTCCCTCCCCCTGTCTGTTTGGAGTCTCCCTTAGCCCCTCGTTGCCTTTTTGCTTGCCCTCGGCAGGGCCAATTAGCCTCACGCTCCGTCTCTGTAATTGATTTCCACCGTGAATAGCTGTCATCTCCTTGTCGGATGCTAATCGTTAATCCCGTCATATACTCATCAAACCGAAATATTCCTCTGTCGCTAATGCTTGAGGCACCATCGCCTGCTGCCTAGAACTTTCCGTAGTTGCTTATTCTTGAACCGGTTTGATTGACCTTTTGCGCGAAAAGCCTCTCCGTTACCACTTGTACCAACGCTCTTCAAGCGAACTCCACCGGGTAGAACTGTTTTCTCAGTAAACTCCTTGAACTTGTTCCACGGACACCGTCTTTCTTCTTTCTGCTATGCAGTAGGATTTCCACCAACGTTCAACCGCGTGCCCTGAAGATTTCAAAGTCCACGAACATAATCTATCTCTTTCGAACGAATAGCCATAAGAGTAAAATACGTCTCCAATCCCGCTCCGCCATTCCAGTCATCAAGCTCTCTGACGTCAACACCTCCTATCATAAACATGAATCTCCACTTGAAGTTCAATTTCAGGTTCTGTAAGAATTCTTTACCCCCTTGATGCCCCAATGCCAGTCTTAACGCGTTCTCCTCCTCCTTGCTCTGAATCTGAATCTACTCTCTTCCACATCGAACCTCCAACAATTTTTTTCGAAGGAGATTCACCTTGTTCCGCCACCTCCATGGCATAAGACTACGCAGCTTGCTGTGTCAGAGTCCGAACCTATCGTTCTCGCATCTGCTTCTTCATGGCCATCCAATTCCTCGCCCTGAATTGTCTCCTTCAGCCAATCTTTCTTTCTTCCCTTTAAAAACCTGGATTCATTTTCCAATGAAATAAGGATCTCGCCCAAGCTTATTGTATTGCGCGAATCGAGTAAGGACCATACACAGCGATGTCCCCTTCACCGGATCTGATTCTCTGATCACCAACTTGATACGAGTTGTCGCTCCGAACATCTTGGGATCGCGCGAATTATCAAAGTGCTTGGGATTGGTTGAGAAGATCTGATGACAGAAACACAAGCACCAATTCAGTTTTATCGCGAAGAAAATTACCTTCTCCTAGATTATGCAGTTGAAAAGATTACAATCCCTCTCTCACAATCTCCACTAGAATCGCAAACAAACTCTCAGATTCTTCACTAAACCCTAATTACAATGATTAGAATCTCTTTTTAATTACACTCTATGAATCATCTGATTGTTTATAAACCCTAAAACAATCCTTTATTATTAGGGCTACCCAAACGTGGATGGTCAATTTGGCTAAATAACCAGACCCAAAACCAACAGCGAATTCTTTAGGTGAACAGAAACCCAAAACGAACCAGGAAACCCATCGCATGCAGTCGACTTCATGCACTGAGATGAGTCGACTCTGTCCGAAACTGCCCGACAAAACACAAAAGCCAGCGATTGATCGCACTCATGACAGTCATAGTCGACTCAACCTGATGAGTCGACTCATTGCACTGTTATGAGTCGACTCACAGCGCCTGAAAAACTTGTGGAATACTTCGATTCTGTTGCTTGCCGTCTCGTTCACGCTCTCCCACCTGACGTTCCCACTGACTGTTTGACACCTCTATTCTCCATGCTATCGAGAATCATCTCATCCTCAAGCTTCCATGAGATCGCTAAGTTACCCGCAAGAGAGATACACCCCGTATCAATATTCTTTTCACTAAAAAACAAATTTGCATAAGATCATTATTTTCTTTGCCTAGTTCTGTTTGAATCTGAAAGGGCTAGGAGGTAAAAGCCCAAAAAACTCATAGGGCTTAAGTGATTAATATAATAGTTGAGACTTTACAGAGAAAACCATAAATTGATGTTCCTTAGCGATTGTGGAAATCCATAAAGGGTGTTGTGTTCTTGCGTTTCAAACAATATTTGGATTTGGGAATGCGCCTAACAACTCTGCTAATATTTTGCTTTGTTTCATTCAATATTTGACGGATTTGGGAATTACTATAAATTATATATTATAATATTAATATAAAATTTTAATAAACATATATTATATAATTATATTATGTATATTTTATATTATAATATTATAATTATATATTTATATATATAAATTATATATTATTTTATATAATTTATATAATTTATATTATATATATATAATTTATATTATTTTATATATTATTTAATTATATAATATAAATAATTTAATATATATATAATATATCTAATATATTCAATTATATGCCCTACAGTAATTTACTACAACATTACTACAGCCATGCACATTGATATATAATATTATTTAATGTATTAATATATATAATATATAATATGATAATATTAAATACTATATATATATATATATATATATATACTATATATATATATATATATAAATTATATATATATATATATTATCATATTAATATATAATATTATATTATATATATATATATATAAGTATATATATATATATTATAAATATATATAAAAATATAATATATATCATGATATATATATTTATATCATATATCTTATATATTATATATGATATATTTATATTATATATATAAATATATATAATATTATATATACATATTATATATGGATATATATATATATAATTATATATAAAATATAATATTAATATAATTATATTATATATATAAATATATATATATAATATTTATATATTATTATATATATATATATAAATAATTATATATTATAGTATATATATATATATATATATATATATTATATATATATATTATATATGATATATTTATATTAGGCCAAAATAGCCAGATTGGTATATATTTTCTCGAGGCGTTGGTGACAAGTTAGATATATTTTCTTTTTTTAGTTTTTGTCAGATTGGTATATTTTCTCAAACTCCGGCACCATATAGACCCTTACAATTTAGCCGGAGTTACTGTTCGGACCAGCTGTTTGATGGGCATTTTACATAAAACCCCCTCATCAAATACCAGTTTCCTCTCCTAAGCCCCCCTCTCCCTCCTCCTCCTCCTCCCCTCTTCAACCTCCCCCTCTCCCTCATCCTCCTCTTCCCCTCCCTCCTCCCCCTTCCTCATCTCTCCTTCCCGATCCCCTCCATCTTCTCCTCCCCCTCCCTCCTCTCCTCCTCCTCCTCCTTCGGCCTCTCCACCTCGCCCATTTCTCTGCCGCACCCCCCTCTCTCTCCTCCCTTAGGCCGAAACACAGAAAATGATAACTTCAAAATAATATAATATATATATATATATATATATAATATAAATTATATAAATTATATAAAATAATATATAATTTATATATTACAATATATATTATATATTATATATAAAATATATAATATATCTATAATTATATATATATATATATATTATATTATATAATATATGTTATTAAAATTTTATATAATATTATAATATATAATTTATAGTATTCCAAATCCCAAAATATTGATGAAACAAACAAAATATTACAAGTTTTAGCATTCCAAATCCCAAAATATTATTGAAGCAAACACAACCCCCTTTATGGATTTCAAATTCTAAAAGCCACATCATTTATGGATTTCAAATCCCATTTTGAAATCCAAAAAAAAAAATCAAAACAAACACCCCCTTAACGTTTTGAATTTTGTACGTCAATACAGACACGACTTTTTGACGTACAACCGGATACGACTGTATCCGTATCTTTACCTTTTCTATTTTATTCATCAGCGGGACCCACACTTTCACGCCTTTCCCGCTTCGCTGTCGCGTGGGGCCCATCAAGCACCAATAAAATAGTGTCAGTTTCTTATATTATTTTTCCTTCTCCTCAACTTTTTCCTGTTTGTTTTTTTCGCTTTTCAATTTATAAACCTCGCTATTTCTAAACCCCAGTGAAATAAACTCCCGCCTTCCCCAATTAAAAAAAAAAAAAAAGATACGCCAAATTCAAGCCCAAACCCTAATCCCCAAATTGCCCCCTCATCCCCAAATCCTCTCTCTCTCTCTCTCTCCTAGGGTTTCGGCCTTTCCTCCCCCCCAAATGGACGGCCGATCCCCGGAAACCCTAGCTCCCTCGTCGCCGTCTCCCACTTCGGCTCCCGATCTCAAATCGAGCAATGCAGATCTCGACCCGTCGGCAGAGAGCAACAAAAGCCGCAAAATCCCAATCTTGGATCTCGTGCTTCTTGAGGGCAGCGGAGCCTTGCGGCGTTCGCCGAGGATCCAGCTGCCGGAGCCTGAGAAGAGGAAATGGATCGACATCGCCGAAGACGACGGAGAGAAGAAGAGTTCTTTGAAGAAGTGTGGAAAAAAGAAGCCTAGGGTTTCTGTGAAGAAGGAGGAAGAGGGCATGGATTTGGACTCAAAAAATGTTAATGGGAAATCTCATTTTGTTGGGGATCCAGTGCCTGAAGAGGAGGCGATGGAGAGATGGCCTCATCGATATGCGAAGAAGGTAATCTTGACTTGTTTATCTCGGTTTCTCTTGATTTCTTGGATCTTTTTTGCGTTCTTGATGTGTTTTTTCTTGTTTATTAGGTAATTCTTGATGTCACTATCTTTTTCTTAGAATGCTTTTCTTGCCAATGAACATCTAAGTCATTATCAGTGTTTTTTTTTCTGAAGGTTAAAACCTGCAACAAATGGAGTAATATTGCCAAGTAAGTGACAAATTTGCATCCTTTCTTTGCTATTTCTTTGCTATTATAATGATAGGACAAGATGACCAACTTCCTTGTTTTGGTAAACTTTTATTTTCCCCCCTAAAGTATCAATTTAACTATTTTCCCCTTAGGGCCTGTTTGTTTCGCAAAAAAATGCAGAAAGTTGGGGAAAGAAAATGAATTTTGATGTTTTTCTCTACTTTTTGATGTTTGGTTCATCAAAATTCGGAAAGAAAGTGAGGGAGAAAATGAGTTATCACCATATTATTCGATGAGATGAGTAATTTTTGATGTTTTCCTCCACTTTCTTTATTTTTTGTTCTTTCTTGTGTTTGGTTCAAGTAATTTTTGATGTTTTCCTCCACTTTCTTTATTTTTTGTTCTTTCTTGTGTTTGGTTCATTCTTAAAACTAAGAATTATTTTTTGTTCTTTCTTGTGTTTGGTTCATTCTTAAAACTAAGAAAATAAATGAGAGAAAATGAGCTATCATTATATTATTGGATGATGTGACTCATACTTAGAAAAATCAATTTTCTTATTTTTTTTGGAGGAAAGGGATGAAAGGAAATTTTAATGAGATGTGATGAGTTGTCACCATATTATTGAATGATGTGAGTAAATTTTAAAGATGGTAGAAAATGAAGAAAAGTTGGGTGAGGTGAGTTAGATGAGTTGATTGATGTGACTCATTTCTTGTGTTTAATTTATTTCTAAAAGTAAGAAATGAGATGTGATGGGATGAGTTATCACAATATTATTGGGGGAAGTGAAGAAAGTGAAGGAAAGTAGGTTAAGGGGCTGTTTGTTTGCCTAAAAAAAAGGAAATCAAAGAAAATGAAACATATTTCTAAGAAAAATAGGTTTTGGGATTGTTTGGTTGGCTAAAAAAAGAAGGAAATCAAAAAAATGGAGATGAGATGAGATGAGTTGTCACCTTATTATAGGATGATGTGAGTGATTTTTTAAGAAAACTTGTTTTGATGTTGTTTGGTTGGCGGAAAAAATAAGGAAATGAATTATAAGAAACCTGTTTATTGTATTAGGTTGTTTTTTTTTGTTTGGTTATTTTTTAAAAATAAGAAAATAGATGAGATGAGATGAGTTGTCATTATATTATTGGATGATGTGACCCACACTTAAAGAAATTGTTTTCCTAGCTTTTTGGGAGGAAAACAAAGAAATGAAATGTTAATGAGATGAGATGAGTTGTCATAATCTTGTTGGATGATGTGAGTAATTTTTAAATATGAGATGAGATGAGTTGAGTGATGTTGTGGATGAAAATAATATTTTATTAGATGTGGTGGATGTGATGGATAAGTTGTTGGATGAAAATAATATTTTATTAGATGTGGTGGATGAGTTGTTGGATAAAAATAATATTTTATTAGATGTGGGTGAGTTTTAGGGATGGAAATGTGTGAAATTGTACTTTTTGATATTTCTCGATTTTCATTTCTATTTTTTGGTTTTTCAGGAAATAACCAAACAGGCCCTAAATAAAGTGGGGGAAAGTTAAAAAGTGAAGGAAAGTGAGTTTTGGATTCTGAGGGAAACGAAACAAACATGCCTATGACAAGATGATCAACTTTCTTTGCTATTATAATGATAGGACAAGATGCCCAATGTGGTCATTTTCTTAGCCCACCCTCAAATATTTAACAGATTGATGATGCGACATTTTTTTCTTGTATTTTCTGCATTTCAAAAAATGATGTTCTACTTACAAAAGAAAAACAAAGAAAAAGAAAAAGAATAAAGGGTAAAAAGTTTTGGGGAATAGTAGTTAGGACTTTTTATTTGTTTGGAGGGACAGGAGATGATAAGACTGATAAAAACCCATGAAGAAATAAAAAAAATGCTGTCACGTCACAAAACTGTTAAATATTTGACTGTGTGCTCACAAAATAGCCACATTAGGCCCATAAACATGGTTATAAGGGGGGGAATAGGTAAATTGATACTTTCGGGGACACGTTGAAAGTTCACCAATTCCTTTGCAGGGGAGTTGGTCATCTTGTCCATAATGATAATATGCACTTTCAAACTTCTTTGTGATTTCTTATATTAACAATGTCTTTCATATGTTATCTTGTAGCGTTGTTGATGATGATGACATCGTTTTAAAAGTAAAATACCATTATTTGCAAGCTAATGTGAGCGGGTGCACGTTTGATATTGGGGACTGCGCTTATGTAAAGGCGAGTCACTTTTTTCAGGATTACTCAGTGCATCAAACTTATTTGATTATTCTTTTTCTTTATTACAGGAGATAGTATGTTTTGTGCTTGCTTTTGGAACTTTTAGGCTTACTCGTATGATGTGCTTCAAGAGGATTTGAGCATAGACCTTATTACATGCTTCCTCACTGAAATTATAGTTTGGATCCAGAGAGAGAATATACATGCACATAAATGGACACACATCTACATTTTTCGTACATAAGCAAATAACTACACGCATATCAACATGATCATGTGCATGACATAAATTTAAATAGATGAGTTTCTGATGTAAAACGAGGGAGGGGGTCTATCAGAATCAGCGATTTAATTCGAATAATACAACGTTTCGCCAAAATTCATAATATTCGGTAGGAAATTAATTTAAAACAGTTAATGTGACCAATGGATTTTAATAAGATTTGCAATGATAGTCATAAACAATTCCAATCTTGAATAATTTAATCGCAATATTAATTATCATTTCGCAAGTTCTAAGATCAATATCAAAATTTAGCAGTCACATGTTTAGTACTCTCAACTCACAAAATTAATCAAGCAGTGACTTATATGATAAGAATTTAGAGATAAACTAGTCTTTGCAATTAGCTAATAAAGTGAAATTAGCAGAAAAATACTGAGTGAAATTGATACCATCGTCGGGCTGAAAATCAGATCCGAATTAACCGCTGTTATAATCAATCTGAACAGTTGATTCTGAAGTTGATCTTCAGTTTAAGCTACAAACAGATCCTTGCGCAATGATCAGGGCAGAAGATTTGTGGGTTCGTTGCTGCTTCGAAGCGGATGAAGGCAGAGAAAGAGGCGTCGGAGATCGGAAACGTAACTCTGTACTTGGTGTTCTAAGTGGTTTAGCATATCTTTGTACTTGGTGTCTGGATGTTGGGAGATGTTGAGAATGGGTGGAGGCGGATCTGAGGGAGATGTTGGGAGCGGTTGTGGGAGGGAAACAAAAGAGCAGAGGGTGGCCGGCGCTTGTAGAGGAGGAGAAGGAAGAGAGAGGGGATGCACAGCTGGTGGCGTCTGCTGAAGGAGAGAAGGGGAGGCTGGCGGCGCTGCTGCTCGGGGAAGAGGGAAGGCGGGAGTTGGTGCAGCTGTTGGAGGGGACGATGGGGAGATGGTTGCGGGTTTTGAAGAGGAGCAGGAGAGGTGTTTGATGGGTTCTGAGAGTTGACGTGAATTGAAGAAAAAAAAGGAAGAAGATGAACAGTGGCTGAGTTTATGAAGAGGAGAGAAGAAGGAATTTGCAGCTTGGAAGAAACGAAGAAAACAAAGTCTTAACCTAGGGTTTCACACCCCTGAATGTTTCACACAAACAGTTAGGCTAATACCATATTTTTCATTTCATTCATCAATGAATTTTTTTTTCATGATTACAGCAGGGTTTATAAAGAGAAAATATTAGAGATTTGCAAATCTCTCACAAAATCAAATCTCTCAAAATAAAATCTCACCAAATAAAAAATCCCTCAAATCATTCAATTACCAAAACTGATAACTACTAAATTTAACCAAATTCGAAATTCAAATTTAAACTACTAAAAACCGAAATAAATATAAACAAAATTTAAATAACAACTAATATGGAAGCTTGTCCTCATCAGTTTCGTTACATACTGTAATTGAATACCTAATGGGATTTTATTGATGTTAAACCAACCCAGAATGCAGGCATGATTGCTGGAAGCAATTGACTTTTTTTTTAATAATTATTACTTTCACATATTGTGAGACCCTTCAAATGAAGATAACACGTTTTTACCTAGTGAGAGATACATCAGGTTTCTGGAGCTGTATTGAGTTTCTTCTCTCGATTCAGTGATTCCTTTTTTCTCTTCACACCAGTGCATGAACTGCACCTGGAAACTAACTACTACACTGCCCAAGTTTTAGATACACCAAATGTTATTCCATCTTCTAGAAACAAAATGGTATCAAATGTTACTGGTGCCCCCCGCCCACGGCCATTTACTTTTACCAAGTTTGTATATTATGAACATGAATATAAACACAATTCCTTACATAGAAGGGGGGATTAAATTACATAACACAATTGCATTATCGCTAGAAAGGGAAAAAAATAAAACCTTCTTTCTTTTTTGTTTCCCACCTGATTCAATAAGCCTGACATGACTACTTGTATTCTTTTGTTGTAATTCCCTAGAATAATGACTTGCTATCTGTTTCTTACAGGGTGAAAAGAGGAAACCAAACTACATTGGTAGAATCATGGAGTTTTTTGAAACAATCAAAGGGGAGTACTATGTTAGACTACAATGGTTCTATCGAGCTGAAGATACTGTGAGCTTAGTGTTATCTTAATCCCATATATCACGGTCAAGTTTTCTTTTATGTCAAGTGTGATTCGTCAGCGTCATTGTATTGGTTGCAAGATTGGATTAGTTGATTCACTGATGTGGTTGAGGTTGATTATGTGTTATATGATTGTGTATTGTGCTTTTATTTTTTTAGGTTATGAAAGATCAAGCAGCACGTCATGACAAAAAGCGGTTGTTCTACTCAGATTTAACAAACGACAACTTGCTAGATTGCATTGTTTCAAAAATCAGGGTCATTCAAGTCACCCCAAGCATATGCACCAATGCTGAATTCCCCTCTTCCTGGAATAAAGATGTATATCTCTTCGTACACTTATCTGATTCATTTCTTCAGTTCCTAGATTTTTTCCTCACATTCTATTATAAAAGTTTACATATTCAATATGATTGCCCTTGTTTTGGTTACCTATTGCTTATCATTGTTTCATTGCAGGTAGAGTTGAAGGCTAAATCTATACCATCATGCTACTTCTACTATGACATGAGTTATTCTGTAGACTATTCTACATTCCAAACCATGGAAATAAGTAAGCTGTCTCTTTTCTAATATCATAACCATGTTATAATTTTCATGTCTATTGATGTAACTATAGTCCTGAAGTTGAGGTACAGAAAACTGTTATAGACCTTTTTCGCACAACTTGTACCTCATTGTTAATTATTAACCTAAATGTGATACCAAAGGTATCTGTGTATAAATCTTACAATTGTCTATACCAACATGCATCAGCAGTATTTTTCTGGCTGGATTATTATGGTCAGCTAATTGATAAACAAAAGATTTTGATACCCAATTTTCTGCTCTTTAAATTAAAAGCATGAGAAACTAAGCCTCACGGACAGGGGAATATACTTCAAAACAATATTAAAGCACAAAGCTACAATACTCTGCAGGTTTAACTACATCCATCACATCAGGAGTTTATATAATGCTTATTATGAATTATAACTTTGTTAGCATATTCTGTGTAACATGTACTTTTATCTGGAAGTTTGTTGGTATTGGACGAGTATTTTGCATATGTTGCACATAACACTTAATTACTTATGGCGCACTTAGTTGACACATGTTCTATGATTGCTTAATGTGTTCTCAAAATTTAATTGCTCTTTTGATTTTGAGTACTTCCTCGACACATGTTTTGCACACTTTGTTCACAGTAAAGGTAATTACACCTCAGAGAGCAACAGGTTATGCATGCCCGTATTAGAACTGTAGCGCTTCCTGTGATAGCAACTTGTTGGGCATATCGTTTTCAGATTGTGAAATAACAATCCGTGTTCTCTGTAATTTATAGATTGCATTACCATAATATGAACATGATATTTTTTACATTTCCTTGTTAGGAGGGCGTTGGTTAATCAGCTACCCAGTTTCACCTCTAGTCTAGATCTTGGATTATAGACCAGTGAATTGAGGAAGTTTCTTTATGTTCCTGTCATTTTAAGTTGCTAGCTATCACCCTATAGTTTCTATCTGCTTATGTTTTCTCCTGTACATGCATAAGCGCCCCTAAATTACAAGCTGTCTTTATCAATTTCAGATAATTCAGTAGAGAAGAGTGATTTGTCTTCTTCCAGTTGCTCGGGAACTGATCATGTGAATGTCTCCAAGATTGAGATGTATAGAAAGGAAGTTTATAGTAAATGCGAATATAAAAGTACAGAGCTATCACTGTTAGATTTATATTCTGGTTGTGGAGGAATGTCGACCGGGCTTTGCTTGGGAGCTCAGATTGCTGGTGCAAAGCTTGTCACGGCATGTATCTTGGACCCATATCCCTTTTTTTCCCCAACCGTAATCATCAATTAGTTTTCAGGGTATCATTTGCTTTTATGGTTGTGTTATGGCAGAGATGGGCTGTTGGTAATCATCAATTAGTTTTCAGGGTATCATTTGCTTTTATGGTTGTGTTATGGCAGAGATGGGCTGTTGACTTAGATGAAGCTGCATGTGAGAGCCTTAAACGAAATCACCCAGGAACAGAAGTAAGCTTTATATTATTTTTTCCTGTGGTTACAGTTAATGAGTTATGCACGTTGAAGTCTTGAATTGTTCTGGTCTCTTTTATAGGTCAGAACTGCATCAGCTGTAGAATTTTATGAGTTATTAAAGGAATGGAACATACTTTGCAAAAAATATATAGTTGGTGGTTATAAAAATGGTAAATCTGATTCAAAGGCCTCAAATGTGCATGCATCTAATGTGCAAGCTCATGATGACTCCGAGATCTCATCTGATGAATTTGAGGTCTTAAGACTTGTAGATATCTGCTATGGCGATCCTGCTAAATCTGGTGAACACGGATTGAAGTTTAAGGTAATGCTTATTTATCCATCCATAAGATATGTTCTATAAGGACAGAGCTTTAGCTTCATTTTATATCCAAAGGAAAAAAGTAACCTAGCATATATTTTTGTATGGTTTCATCGTATGTTACTTGACTCTTTGGCTCTTGCAATTTGCTAAATATGATATTAGTCTCCTCCCCCTTTGTATACAAAGGAGTTAATAATAAATGGAAGGTAGATGGAAATAACTGGTGAGCATACATTCGAAAGTGTGCAGATGGCCCTTCTTGGGAAGGGGCTTCATGCTTTGTTTATTTGCCTTCATTACTACAACATTTGATTGCAAACTTCTAATGCATAGACTAGAGAATGTCCTCGTGCCATCTCTGCAAAGCAATAAAAAACCCTCTGACTGTGCAGTTAAGACCATAGGTTTAAGTAAAAGAGTATGTGATTGTGTTGTACAGTTGATGCAAGCTGGTGACAGGATTGTTGTTGATTGTGGTCAGTAGGGTATTTTTCATTTCTTTTGAGGTTGTTTTTCTTTTCGGATTTTTTTAATTTGGGATTGCGGGTTTTTTTTTTGGGGGGCGGGACCCTGTACGTAGAGGTAATAGAATGAATGTTTAGCCGACAGCATTTACTGAACGTTAGATGGGTACTTATAAATGTGCATGTTCTATGGATTCTGAGAAGTATGTGTTTGCAAGCTGCATCTAAAAGGGAGTGGAGATTTTGTCAAAGGAGAAGCTAGAGAAGGGCCGAAAAACATTTCAACAACTTTATTTTCTTTTTCTCTAAATTAATTTTCTTCAATCCTATACCAAGACCCTACAAGTCTCATTCTTTATTTGAAACAACAGCTTTACGTGTGGCTTTACTTAGGACCTGTTCGTGTCTCAAAAGGTTCCAAGCCATCTTGGCAGCCAAATTCTACGACACAATTCTCATTTGTAACACATCCTTTTGAAATTCTCCATCATTTATTGTTGTCAAGAACCTTAGTCAAATGCTTTTTGATCCTAGTCTTAACTGAAAATGCTTCTTGCGATGTTATCTACTTTTCTAAGTAAATTTCTTGCCCTGGAAGACCCATAGTAACTGCTGCGGGTATTTCGGTGCTTTGAAATATATGAACCACGAGAGAGAATAGCCCTGCTAAGTTCTCATGTCATTATTTTACAGAAGCATAGGTGGGTAAAATGTGCAGGCCTTTTCCCTTCTTGGGATTACTCTACCAAGCAAATGGATTACCACTTTCCAAACATGTCACACACAAGATGAGAACAATTTCTGCTTATATCCTATTCATACAGGTTGATATGCTAGATAATAATATGCTCAGAAGCTTATATTTAATACTTACAACTAAAGTAAAATAATCATATGTCCTTATTATTTTTATAAGCCCATAGCCAGGCCCCAAAGTGGGTCTTGGGCTTAAAATCGTAATCTACTTGAACCTGAAAATCCTGGCAAAACCACATTGTATCTACCGCTGTGTCTCTCTCCCCCTTATTTTCTATGCTTCTTCCGAATGTTATCATGATCGTCACTGCTGTCCAGGTCCGCTGGAAGGGCTATGCTCCAAGCGATGATACATGGGAGCCTATTGGTAATTTAAGGTAACCTGTTCACATCTAGGAGGAGCAAACCCTTATATAGTACTAACGTATGAATTTAATTTTTATAGGATGAAATTGTTCAAGTCAAACAAGCAAACCCTTCACTTTTAGACATTGAGATAGTTGCGAAAATCTGGGGGAAGCAATTTCATGGTCACATCATTGTATTTGGTGGCGGGACTACTTTAAAAGATTTGAGAGGACCGCTCCCTAGTCGATCTGATCTGGAAGCATGAGTTATAGAAGAAAAGAAAAAGAATCAGATTCTTCAATAACGCTTAGATGAGCAGGAACAACAACAACAAAGAATGTCTGAGTTGGGAGTCACAAAGATTCTTCAATAACGCTTAGATGAGCAGGAACAACAACAACAAAGAATGTCTGAGTTGGGAGTCACAAATGAAAGCTATGCAAGAACTTTTTTTAGGCAATCACCTTCATTGACTCCTCAAACTCGAGAACATGTGCAGGACAGGTAATTATTTTTTGTAAAATCTCTTATATACTTTTATGATTGACTACTTGCACTAAAAAATATGAATTTTACTTAATAAGATAATATTTGCTTAATTGATATTTCTTAATTATGTGTTTATTTAAAATTTTCAGGCTATCCATGCAAGATTAGGAGAGGTGTGGTAGCTCGAGTCTTCTTTTGACGATGATTAGAGATGAAAGAATGTGTCTTCTCCAAACTTTTATTTTAATTTGTTATAGATAGTTTCATGTATTTTTCTTTGGAACAAATAGGATATTAACTCTTGTTATTAGTATTGAATATTTGAGGATGGTGGAATTTTATTTATTGATGTTATTAATGAATGAAATTTTTATTTTCTCTTTTATTCATTATTGGGTATTTTTAATATATTTGTGTTGTGAATCTTAGTATCAGGTTGAGAATAATATGATAGTCGCCTATGAATGGAAAAATTATTATTAGTGTATATTAGAAATTTATAGTCTACAATGACGGTTTTATAAACCGTATTTTGTTCATCAACGAAGGGAAAGCACCGTCGTTAATGAGTTACTAATTACCCATTATGAGGACTTTTACGACGGTATGCAACCGTCATTAATTAGTCTTCAACGACGGAAAAATATCCCCGTAACTAATGGTAACGACGGGAAAATATCCCGTTACTGATGGTAACGACGGGAAAATATCCCCGTCACTGATAGTAACGACGGTGATAATTACCGTCATAAATATTAACGATGGTAATATGTTCCGTCATTATAGACTCTATAACGACGGGTAGTATATCCCTTCGTGACCCTTTAGCGAAGAGGGCTTCAACGACGGGTGATGAAGGGATTTTCCCCCGTCGTTAGCATACAATAACGAAGGTTTTCAGCTCTTTAACGAAGGGAAATCCCTTCGTTAAAGATGTAATTTCTTGTAGTGTTCTAAATTCTGTGCTTACTTCAATCCCATTATACTTCATGTCCTTCTACAGATTACCAATTTGGGTCATTAAGAAAATTGACAATATTAGGAAAGGTTTTCTTTGGACAGGAGCTAAAAAGTCAAGTGGTTTCAAGTGTTTAGTTAGCTGGAGAAAAGTCTGTTTAAGTAAACTTGAAGGAGGATTAGGAGTTAAGGATATTCGGTTGTTTAATATTGCCTTGCTATCAAAATGGCTTTGGAAGTGCCTTGATCAGAACTCAAATACGGGAAAATTTCTTTGTCAACTGTATTGCACCAGAGGCAATCTTCAAATGAATCTTGCAGGAGCTTCAAAATCATCATTCTGGAATGATATTTTATCTTTTAAGAACGAGTTCCTACATAATATCTCTTGGTCTCTGGGAGTAGGTGATTCTATCAGATTTTGGGAGGATAAATGGACAGGATTCCACTCCATAGCCAGTCTTTATCCTTCTATTTATAAGCTAGCTTTATCCCCAAATGTCTCTATTTGCAGTCAAGGTTTTCTGAGAAATTCCAATTGGCAATGGAGACTTCTGTTGAGAAGATGCATCTCTTCTTCTTGTCAAATGGAAAAGGACAATCTCATGGAGCTTTTAAGGAGTTTTCAAACTTCTCACACACCAGATAATCCTATATGGTTGCTTACAAATGCTGGCACTTTCACAGTCAAATCTTTCTATCAGTTTCTTAATCAGAGAGGTATTCTATCACCTCATTTTAAGGTTACTTGGAAGATTAAAACCCCACCTAGAATCAGTTTCTTCATCTGGCTTCTGTGCAGTAACAAACTTCATACAAAGGATAATCTTTTGTCAAAAGGTTGGATAGGAGATTCGATGTGTATCTTCTGTAGCTCACACCCAGAAACCAGGGACCACTTGTTTTTCTCATGCCCAATAACATCAAAAGTCTGGTCTCATTTCAAAAATTATTATCTTCCTTTCACATGGTCATCCTTTTTTTCAGATTTATTACATACTGTTAATAAGCTTCGAGGAGATGTTGGTTATATTTGGCGAAGCTTTATCTCCTATATCTGCTGGAACATTTGGATCAGTAGGAATAAAACAATTTTTGATAAGATGAGTTTCTCATACAATACGATTATCAATAATGCTATATATGGACTATATGAATGGTCAGGTATTGGACAAGGTGCTGCGGCAAGGAAATTGTCTTCCAGGCTAGATAATCTTCCACTCTCCCGAGCAAGTGTCTGAAGATAGAAGACTGAAGATATTCTCTGGATTAGCAGCTTTTTGTTATATCTTATGTAAATATCTTTTAAGATATCGTTATCTTTCTGTTTTCATGTTGTTTCATAGAAATTTTAATTTTTACTACGCACATGTATGGCTGGCTTTGGTTCTTCCTAATATCTATGTCAACGGTGAATGACGGCAAGGCCCTCTCTTCATCTTCATGGATCTTTGGAAGAAGAAAGTTATACATCACTACTAGTAGAAATTCTATTTTCTATATTACAACTTCTTAGACACTACTTGTGTCTAAACTTTTGTAATTAACAATCTTGTGTCTTTTTGGTTTATTTTAATGAACGGGGTTTTAAGCCCCTGTTTTTTGATCAAAAAAAAATGTATGCACATATTTCCTTTACAAATATCTCTACGCTATTTTGTACATTGTTTTATCATACATATTTCTTCAATGTTCAGCAATTCCTTATTTTCTAGTAGCACGTGTAGCGCACGTGTGGTCAGGGCGGAGGAGGCGGCTCTAGAGAGGGGGAGAGAGAGATTGAGAGGAGAGAGAGAGAGAGAGATTGAATATCTGGGAGAGAGAGAGAGACAGACGGCTCTAGAGAGGGGGAGAGAGAGAGATTGAGATATTGAGAGGAGAGAGAGAGAGAGAGAGAGAGTTGAATATCTGGGAGAGAGAGAGAGACAGAGAGGATTGAGATTGGATACCAGCTCAATCATTTTTTTCAAGCGCGTGTTTTCCCCTCTATTCCTCTTGGTAAAAATTTGTAAACGCTGCGTGCAATGAAAATGAAAACATGCCTCGTCATCTGAAATAGTCCCCAGGAATACAGTTTTCCTTCAAGAAAGTGAATGCATATCATCAAAACGATACGATCACCTGCCACGAGCACGCACTTATTTGCATTTTTCACCTGAACAATATGCATCCACTTATTTAAAACTTCCATCAGAAGCAAGGAGATAAAACAACAGTTCTCATGATAATTAAGCGTACTCCGTGCCTGCATGTTCCTCCAACACTGTTTTATTTTATGGTGCGTGCGCACGTGCGTGTGTGTGTGGGGGGTAGGGGGGGTGTTGGAACGTTCCAATAAATCGCCATTATTATCTTTCAAGAGAAGCAGGAATCTCACAGTTGGAAAAACATTTACCTTGATAATGGTAATGGGACAAGAAGAATGCAACTCAAAGGGGGAAATTTAAATATAACATGCCACCAAATTTATTGACCGACAAGTCTTTTTTCTCGCTGGCCCCTCCAGCTCAAAAATTTTAATGGGGCAATGAAACTCCGCATGTAAAATGAGGTTATCGGCTTAAAGTACCTCAACAAGAATAAACCTAAACAGAGAAATCCTCAAGACATTTGATAAAAGGCATCAAGGATAGTAGCCTGTGAATGTGAAACCTCTTCCCGCAATCTCACCAACACAGAACCATGCATATAATTCAATTCCAAACAGAGCAGCAAGGCCAGCGTCTTCAACCTTCAGCTCTTTTCTGTTCTTCCAGATTTGCTTCACTCCGTCCAACTCTTTCCAGAATGCCTCATATCGGCCTGGAATGCTGCAAAGCAAGGAATATTGATCAGTTTATCATAATATAAAATAAATAAATAAATAAAACAATCAGGGGAATACTGTTTCAATAAGAACTCTAATAATGTGATCAACGACAATATGAAAAAGAAAAGTAAAATAAGTTCCCTCGTTCATTAGCGAAGCGCATATGTCTCCTACGAGTAATATAGAAGTTAGAACAAAACTGCAATTATCTTCTATTTACACTAGTCAAAGTTTTAAATATCGGTTATTGGGGATTTATCAGACGGTCAAACTCCATATCGAATAGCGGATATAGGCGATATATCGGGGATAAGTAGTATTTATCAGAGTGACATTACCAAATGGTGATATACATAATATAATATTCTAAAATGTCATCTAACCATACTTAATGAAATATAAACATAACAAAATATAAGTAATTATATTTAGGATCACTAACCAATAGTAGAAGGGTTTAGAGTGCATTGAATAGGTGTCTGTTGCCCAAAATCAAAACTCAAACTAAAGGACTAAAGGACGATAATTTCGATATTTGGGTTGGCTATATCGACCGATAACTCACTCTATCGCCACATTATCGGCAATAAACATCATAAAACGATAACTGACTTAGAATCGAACTTATCATAGCGGAAGGCCCCCAAAACTGATAAATCGCCGATAATATTGGTTTATCAGCCGATATTTAAAACATTGACACCAGCGGATGAAAAGAAACTTCACCAACATTATTGTCATCCTTTGTACACCACCAAGAACTAAAAAGAAATCAGGCAGAATTACAAATAGCAGTCCAAAAGGATTTTGCCAATTCCAGGACTGACATTTCACACATTCAATGGTTTATAGGTGAAGAAAAGAAGAATCCAATTATCTTTGTCTAATATCACCAAAATTTAAGCATGCAAGCTGCTCACTGGATCAAAGTTGAGTGCACTTAGAAATTACTATAAAGTTCTAGTAAACGATAGAAACTTGCAACAAGTATATTTGGCAAGTATCTAATAAAGTGCTCACTTAACAGGAAAAAACAATCAATAACAATAGTTTGACGATGTGCAGTAGGACTAGCTTTTATAACTTTTGTGGTATCCTTCTACACCTTAATTTAGCAAGCTAATTTATCTTATAACATGAACCTGATGATAAAAAGCACAGCTGAGAAACAAATACTGGTCAAAGTTTTGGAGTTTATCAACTAGGTATCAACCTTATGAGGGAGTGTTGAACTTCTGGTCCAGTAAACCATGTTAAGGGGGCTTTGCCTATTCCAAGATGACTGGTCGGTTGATACCTATTCCATGTCTTACATTGCTCATGTAGTTTATACCATGCAACCAAGAGCAATCCTCTAAAGAGCTACCCAAAATAAGATTCAAAAAGAGGGAAAATAGTATAAACTTGTATGCATGGAGTTTCATTCATCTAAAAGGTGAAATTTCATTCATCTACAAGGCACATCTTGACAGCCAAAGGATAATTTGAGATATATTCCTGTATCAGCAATAGCTGTGTAAAAACCAAAAAGCATTCCTCAATTGCAAAAGATAGAATAGAATACTTTGTTGTACAGCAGGCAAAACAAATGACGTAAGTGGTGGCCAAGGTGAATGTAGAAACATCAATACTTAGGTAAATCTCTGAATAGGAATGTGAATTGTAATAAAAGAATCATTAACTTAGACCGTATAAAATCATGCATACCCACTGCCCTTTGTTAGTTGAAAAACAAATCTCCAACAAAGAAAATGGGCTACAAAAGAATACAAATTGCAAAGACTAGTTCATGCTTGCATATAGAAGAGCTGAATGTCTCATCAGAATCCAGTACATATTACATTCCCAAATAAGCCCATACCCAGTAACATGTTATGGGGGAAAAGGTGCAAGTCACTCTTCACTTGGTTTAGCTTGCTACTTGCAGCACGTAAGGCTCCAAAACCAATAGATGACAATGAAACTTTCGACCTAAAGCACTATTCTGCAAATAATAACCATTAAAAACTGCATTGGGCATAATTACATAACAAAAGGACACAAGGGAACTTGGTCTCACCAATGATGAGGGGTACAAGTCATTTTCACTTATCACATTCTCAACTTTAGCAATAAAGAAAATGAGAAAAATGTAACTAAACTAAAATGATGGTGCTTTATTTCCTACTGGCAAGGGAGAAGGAAAAAGAAATTAAATGATTCCAACCACTCATTCTCATCTCAGTCATTGAGAAGCAGATAGGCAACCAAAACATACAAATTGGTCCGAGAATGTTGTGCCCACAATTTGAAATAAAGGGGAATAAATACATGAATGAAGCAGATGAAGAGATCAATACAGGAAAAGGTGAAAGTCAGAAAATTAAAGTGATAGAAGTTAGGGAAACTTTGAAAAGATAGTAAAAAACGTTGAAGAAAAATTCAAACTTCAAAGTGAAAGAGAGACAACTGAAAACATTTCCAAACAAAACAATGTCCTTCAAATAGTCATGCTAGAATATAACATTCTACCCATCTCAAAAACCAACACTCTAGCATCAGCTCAACCACATGCTGAAAACTCAAGTTTAGCACACAATGATCAAGCAGGATACAGCTGTTTATCAAGGTTTTAAATATCAGATATCAGGGAAATATCGGATGACCAAAATTCATATCGGATTGCAGATATCGGGGAAATATTGGGGATATGTGGTAAATATCGGAATGCCATAATGAATGTTTGCATACATAGTATAATGCATTGAAATGTAATCTCAACATATGTAATAAAATTTAAGCATACAAAATATGAATAATATATGTTTAGGATCACTAATCAACCTTCTAAAACAAACAAAAGTGCAAAGCAACGTTGCAACATTCGATCTGCTTTTTTTAGGGCAAAATGTCATTTGATATAATGGGGAAATCTTGATATCTCGCCCAAAAAATCCAAACACGGTATATTATTTTGCAACAAGTTATATAAAAAGATATATTGGTCCACATATCGGCTAATATATCGGCCATATCGGGGATTTATCACTCAAAATAGCCAAAAAGCGGTAAAGGATATTTAAAGACCATATCGGTTGCGGCAAGCCCTGTAAAAGGATATATCGGGGGATATATCGGGCCATGTCGGGGATATTTAAAACAATGCTATTTATGATACACTTCCAGTTAGAACAGTAGGAAAATGATCGGGCCTTACTTTGTTATCAGAAATTAAGGTACAGAGTTGCGTATGAATGCATCTAAAGAGAACCCCAGAAAAAGTACAAGACTCCAGTAATGCCATCAGCTTAGCTTCTTAGAAATGCATCATTCACGAAAATTTCCAAAACTCAGGTCAATGAAAAAAATAAACAAAAAGTATGACTACAAGGGAATGAAACCCACTTCCATGCAGGTTCCTTTTATTTCCCAAGTGTCTGCTTGAATCTTAGCGCACAGGTTCTTCCCATCCTATTCATCCATATGGCTATACAGAAGGTTTTTCTACACCAAATCACAAGCACCTATGTTACAGGGGTGCTTCTAATCTGAAGCCGTACTCGTACCCAACACGTACTCATAGCCAAATTCCTTGGACGCTCTTTGCATATATGCATATATCTATTCCAGCATGTACTCAATTATACAATGTTTTAATTTAAAACACTTATCATACATTTTCTGGACATATATCCGACACTTCACATCCACTTATTGAGACTTATTGGACATGAGTCTGGTTCCGAATTATGATTTGAAGTGTTGTTTGGATGTCTTGTTCAAAAATTAGTGATTTTACAATTTATAATGCACATAATAAAAGAAACATAGAAATGTAGAAAATTTAATTCTCATCCTTTTTCTCGTATAAATTATTAATCCGATATATAATATATTTGTATATATTTATATTGTCGTGTCCCTGTACGCTACCTTTTACAAATTTACTGTGTATTATACCCTTAACCGTGCAACATAGACAAGCACTGACCCCATTTAAGTTTTATGACAACAGAATTATATTGAAGAATTAAAAGAAAAACTTGGTAAATCGTATAAGTTAAGCAGAAGCAATCATTCCAACTTTGTCATTACCTTGGGGGGTCAAAAGATAGGGTTGGAGAGAGAGGAGGGAGGAGAATGGGTGAATCGATGCAAAAAAGCAATTTTGGATCAACAATTGACAAATAAATTTCTGAACATGAATAAGGCATGCAGCGACCAAAAAGAATATGAAAGGAGGACAACCAAATAGAAAATTTTCACTAGAAAAAAAAATCGAGCAATCAATCATTAAGACAATGTTTGGCAATTTTGGATTATAAGCCACCGTGTTTGGTAAATTTAGTGGATTATAAATCATTCCCAATAATAAAAGTGTTTTGCAAATGAGTGGCTTACTATGTTGCATGGATACGGGTGCGGGTGTGGGACACGGCGATATTGTAAAAGTTAGGATAAGGGACACAGTTGTATACATACATATTAAAACTAATAATCTACATGAGAGCAATATTGTTTTTCATTCATATGTTATGAGAGCAAAAATCATCACACTAGTTTTAGTTCCTTTTATCAAGTAGCTTATAAATTTAAAAACCACTCAATTTTGAACTAGATACCCAAACAACATTTTAACATCGAGAATGTCTAAGGAACGCTCGCCTTCGAGTGAGTGTCCTTGAACACTTGCTGAAAAATGAAAGGGGTATTGTTAGGTTTAATACCTAACTAGGGTTAGATTTGGGTGAGATTAGGTGTAGGGGGCACATGGCCCCCTCCTATTAGAGAGTGATAGCAAAACTCACCCAAGGCGAGTGTTGCTAGAAGTCCTATAAAATCATACTTATGATATGTGCTAAAACAAACCTATCCCGAGTCTAATGAGTTGCATAAATTTAATGTGAAGTGTACCGCTATGGGTTTAAGAACCTTAGAATTCTCCTAGATGACGCATATCAAAAACTCAATAAAACCATGCTTCATAGATCATGAAAAAGAACAAATATTCCATTATTCTAATCACAAAAAGAAAGTTGAGAATAAGGGAATTCACACCCTTTAGCGACTAGTTGTTTTATCTTCCCATCAGCTTAAAAATCTTGTTTGGCATAACGTATGGCTAGATAAAAGGGATTATGCTTAATACCTTGACTTTCAACTAGGACCTTTAGAAATCACATCAAAAGGTATTGCAAGGACTTTTCATCATACTTATACAATATGATACACATTCTTTTACCCATATGCAACACAAGTATCCTGCACTCGCTCAAAAAGGAAATAAAGGAGAACTCTGAAACACAAACATGTGTCATACTAAGGAGTAAAAACCAACTTAAGTGATATTTTACAAATTTAGCAACAAATTATCACCGACAGCATAAAGATTATCAGGCATAACTTAATCATTATATGAGGTAAAAGTACTTCACTTGACCACTGTTGATGTTAAGTGATCAAACAGTCAATTATATGGGGATGGATGAGGTTGATGAGTGACCGCTCACTTCTCCGAATATCTGGTTTTGAGTTGAGTGGCTGAAACATGCACAAGTAAAAACTCTTAAGAGGACGTGGACTGGTTCCCCCTGTGGTTCCTCCGACGGTCAAGTTAGTTAGTAAACTTGAGTGGGGGGGAAATGAAGAACTGCGTGAGTTCTTTTGTGCAATGTTATTAGCAGATGTAGCTTAGAATAGTTTAGATCAAAGATTAGATCTTAGAAGATCCCCCTTCATGTTAGAATAACACCTCTATTTATAGTGATGTTGGAATGGTAGAATGGACACTTCGACAGAGCACAGAATAACAGTGAAGAAGTATGGGCTGGCGGCTGCGTCAGCACCTATTTTACACACGTCACTCCGAGAGCGGAGGAGAGATCACCTCAGCATTAAATGAGAAGTGATAGGAGGTATGACGGTGCCGACGTGGTTCGATGAGTCATGAAGACTATCGGGACTGGAGACATGATGGCGTCTGCCAAGCATTAAATGCGACGTCGATGTTGTGTCAGCAGGTGAGACTCGAGGTTGAAGTCGTCTTTTGGCTTAGCCGACAAGTAACGCATTTCGAGTCGACCTTACAAGGCGTCGGATAAATGGTTTAGTGGGCTCGTTGCGAGTTGTCTTTGATGAGAGGGCCGACAAGTTCCGTCATTCGAGTCAACATAAGAGGATGTCGACTTGATGAGTCGGCTAAGTAGGGATCTTTGTTGGTCTTGACCGTCAATTTGATTGGGGCATTGCATGCAGAAGTACACATATTTGTTGCTTAGCAAAGGCTGCACTTTTTGGTTGCTACAACTCCGCTTTTCTTGACAGATTGCGGGTCATTCGATGTGAGTTGGCTAAACCTTGATCTCTGAGATGTCGCTTCGTATTGTGATAATTAATTTAGGCCGTTGGCCGTAATTGAATCTGGCGGTTCAGATTCTGGCAGTTGTGTATTCAGTTGCCTATATATAGGGCTGGAGTTATGAAGGTGGCGGTTATTGTCTTTTGAAATTCCGTTTAGAGAATTCAAGATCTTTTCCGTCCATCTCTTCCGGCGATCAACTTCTTTCTAAGATGGCGTCAGATCCTGTGGACCGACGAGCTCTTCTGGCAGAGATCCATTCCAAGGTGACTCTGGCACAGAAAAGAGCGCTTCATGAGAGATTTGATATCCCCAAGAGTACGAACTAATGGCCCTGACGAGGTCGAAGGTAATCTATGATCATGGACCGGACCGAGATCCACTCTACCTGAGGCATTTAGAGTGTAGCCTGAGGCTGCCCCTACACCCATTCCTCAAGCATGTTTTCACGATGCTAGGGGTATCGCCAGCCCAAATGAAATTGAACGTCATCGCAATCCTGGAGGGTTCATAGTGATCTGTTATTGGTTGGCGATAAAGTCATCCTTGCGGGTCTTGGGCCGGTTGGTGACTGTGAATGTGAACTAGAATGAGCCTCATTTCTATTTTTAAATGGTGGGGAAGTTCAGCCTCATCACCGACCTTCTGGACTCGCACAAAAATTGAAAGGAAAAGTTCGTCTGGATCGTGGGAGACGATATGAAGTTCGGCTGCTCGAGCTAGCCCGAAATAAGGAGGGGGGGCACTCATGGAGGGTGACTCACTCGACGTCGATAGGGATGCACTTGACCAGATCAAGGCGTACGCTGGCTCTCGTCGAGTCGATCATCTACTTGACAACTCGATCTTGCGGGTTGCCAACGTGTCCGTCGTACCTCCTTCTGCCAAGGACCATGAGAGGACTTCAACCCAAACAGCGAAAGCGATGATGGTTCCAACCGCTCCTTTGGCCGACCCCAGGAAGGGTCATCTACTAGGCCCGATGAGGTACTCCCTCATCCTATTCCATTCTTCTCCGATCTCGACAACACGGTGAAGAAAGGGATATTCCAACCCTGCGGGAGACGTCACCTCCTCGATCGGCTCTTTCCCCCAACAAGTCGACTCGCTACGGCAGACAAGAGTGCGAACGATCCTCCCTCATCAGCAAGAGCTCTAGCCTCGGCTCCCTCTTCTTTGAGGGAGCCTCGACTGGCTCTTCCGGGGCCGACTCAGCCATGTGATGACGTCGTCTCTAGCCATCTCGGTCGCCGCCCGACGTTCTTGCTCTTCCCTCTGGGGGCTCCTCCGTATGTGGAACGAGAGTGGCACGGATGCTCCGCCTCAATCGTTTCGACCTCTATTTAAGGAAAGTCACGATGTCTTATGGTGTTTTTAGTCACCAAAGTACGGCCATTTGGTAGCAATGGATAAATGTCCGCCAAGGATCTCGATATAGCCGACCCGTTGAGCCGACATCTGCTCATGTCGACTCGAATGGCGATACTAGTTGATCCTCTAGTCGAAGACAACTCGCAACGAGCTCACTCAACTAGTTAGTCAACGCCTCACGAGGTCGACTCGAAAGGCGCTACTTCTAGACGAAGCTATATGACGACTTTAACCTCGAGCCTCTCCCACTAACAGCACGTCGGCGTCACATTTAATATTTGATAGGCGCATCATACCTCTAGCCCAAATAGTTTTCATGACTCATCAGACCACATCAGCACCGCTATGCCTCCGATCACTTCTCGTTTAATACTGAAGTGATCTCTCCTCCACTCGACGACCGGCACGTGTAAAGTATGTGCTGACGCAACCGCTAGCCCATACTTCTTCATCGTCATCCTGCACTCGGTCGAAGTGATTATTCTACCATTCCATCACCACTATAAATAGAGATACAATTCTTAACAAAAAAGAACTTTTTGACTATGAAATATCTGCTAATTATACTGTACTTACCCACAAGAACTCTGACAGTTCTTTATTTCCCCACTAAAGATCATCAGCTGATTTGATCATCGGAGGTATAACAGGGGAACCAAGCCCCGTCCTCTCACAAGTTTCTACTTTGTGTAGGTTGAAAGCTGCTCTACTCAAGACCAGATATTCAGAGAAGTGAGCGACCCCTCATCAACCTCATCCATCCTCATACAATTGACTGTTTGATCACTTAAGATCAACAACCACCATTTTATACTTCAACCTCAAAGGAACAAATTTTATCATGATTATAATATTTATTAACTAGCAAAAGGAAATGACAGTAATATGTAGGTTCAAGATCAAATCACAACAAAATTTTCACCCATAAGTAAGAATATTGAATATATATACCTTGCGAGGCGAGTGTAGAACAGTTGCTTTGATAGCTCCTGGCACTTCTCGACAGTGGCCGGCTCCACGATGTGCTGCTTGTTGTTCTCCAGCAGCTGCTTGTAGTAAGCTGACCCGTGCTTCGCCACAAATTGAGAGGCTTGGCTCGCCTTCGATTGCAGCTGATGCAATTTCGATGCCATCTAAATCAATCATCAAAAAGCCAAAAGGATTCAAGAAAATCTGGAGAGAATCCCGCAATCAAACCCTAATTTTAGCAGAGGGGAAGTAAAACCCTAGATCCCACTACACGATTCAAGACAAATTAACAATGAAATCAAGAAAAATAATCAGGAAATGAATTGAAGTGCATTTTGACAAGAGATCACCTGTCTTGCGATTGAATTAAATCGAGAGTCGAACCTTGGATTGAGATGAATCGAGGACAGAGAGAGTGGTCTTGGTGTTTTAACAAAGAGGGCTTGCCTTGGGGCCGCTTCACTTTTTATCCCGTGTTAATTTCAGAAAATCGTCCCCTGACCTTTGCATGGTGTTGCAGATAACCCCCGAACTATTTTAATTTAAAGAAAACCCATAAACTTTGGGAGTGTTGGACATAACCTTTTTAATGGTCTGTTTGGATGGAGGGTAGAGATGGAGAATGGAAGGAAAATTTTATTTTAACCTTGTTTGGGAGTTTTATTTTAGAGAGTAGAGGAGAGGAATGGAGGGAAAATTTGGCCCAAATTCTTACACCCCAAATTAGGGTGTAATGGAGAAGTAGAGAAGGAAAGGGAATTTTTCCTCTTCCTTCCCCTTCCTTCCATTCCCGAATGGTGTGTTTGGATTTCAATGGGGTTAAGGGAAGTTAAGGAAAACTAGGTGAGAGAATGGAAGGGAAGGGAGTTTCCTTCCCCTTGGTTACACCCCAATTTGAGGGGTAACAAATTTTATACTATTAGAGGGTGAACCAAGGGAAACTAGGGTGAATAACTTCACCTCCTAAATGTTCCCAAACAAGGTGAATGGTTCCCCTAACTTCCCTTCACTCTTTTTCCCCTCAATCCAAACAAGCCCTAAGTAAACTCCCAAACACACCATTAAACTTTTTTAATCCAGCAACGGCCCTGAATTTTGGGGTATCTTACAAAAACACTCCTGCCCTTTAAACTTTTCTCAAAGAACTCTCTATCTGCAAAAAAATAATAGAAGAATTACATGAGAGAGAGAAAACATCAATCGTCCCTTTCTTTGGGTGGGCGAGATTCATTCCCTATAATTAAAAAAATGACTAAATTGAAAACTTTTCTCTATAGAAAATTTTAATTATTTCTCAATTACAAGTATCATGATCTAGTAACAAATGTTTAAAGTTCAAGAGTGTACTGAGACACCCAAAAGCTCAAGGGGTTTAAGTCCAATAAAAAAAAGATTAGAAAAGTTATCTCAATTTCCGTGGGACTTTTTTATTTCAAATAGTAAAAAAGCATATCTGCATCATACCTAAAGTTTTAAGGAGTTTTCTTAAATTAGCTTTTCTGTTTTTAGTGGATGCTTTTAAAAGTATACATTTTCTTTTTAACTAGCCCATAATCGAGCTAAAGATCGTGAGAGTCATATTAGGACCTCCTAAACCATTTGAATCATCCATAGTGGCTTCCATCTAAGGATGTTTTTAAAAGTAGGTTCTTTTTTTTAACATGTGATCATTGCTGTATATGTTGATGACCTTAATATGATTGGAACTCCTAAAGAGCTCCAAAAGGCGATTGAATATTTGAAGAAAGAATTTGAGATCAAAGATTTTGGTAAAACTAAATGAGCTCCAAAAGGCGATTGAATATTTGAAGAAAGAATTTGAGATCAAAGATTTTGGTAAAACTAAATTTTACCTTGGTTTATAAATTAAGCATTTAGAAAATAGGATTTTTGTTCACCAAACTGCTTATACCCAGAAGGTATTAAAACAGTTCTACATGGATAAAGCACATCCATTAACTACCCCAATGGTTGTCAGGTCACTTGATCCTGCTAAGGATCCTTTTAGATCAAAAGAGGAAGATGAAGAAATTCTTGGTCCTGAAGTACCATATCTCAGTGCAATAGGTACACTAATGTATCTTGCTAACTGTACAAGACCAGATATATCATTTTTTGTGAATTTATTAGCAAGATTTAGTTCATCTCCTACAAAACGACATTGGAACGGTATAAAGCATATTTTTTGCTATCTCCAAGGAACAATTGATCTTGATTTATTTTATTCTTATAATTCTCGACCTGAATTGCTTGGATATGCTGATGCTGGGTATTTATCTGACCCGCATAAAGCAAAGTCTCAAACTGGTTATTTATTTACATGTGGTAACACCGCTATTTCATAGCGATCTACGAAACAATCAATTGTTTCCACTTCTTCGAATCATGCTGAAATAATTACAATTCACGAGGCCAGTCGAGAATGTATTTGGCTAAGATCAATGATCCACTATATCCTGAAGAATAGTGAATTGTCTCCTGAAAATAAAAATCCTCCGACTATTTTGTTTGAAGATAATGCAACTTGTATAGCTCAATTAAAAAGAGGATATATTAAAGGAGATAGAATGAAACACATTTCACCAAAATTCTTCTTTACACATGATTTGCAAAAGAATGGTGAAATCATTGTGCAACAAATTCGATCGAGTGATAATCTGGCAGATTTATTCACCAAGGCATTTACGACTGCAATTTTTAAGAAATTGGTAAAAAAATATTGGAATGCGTCGGTTGAAAGATCTTAAATGATATTTGTATCAGGGGGAGAAACTAATACACAAGAATAGTGTACTCTTTTTCCTTCACTAGGATTTTTTTCCCAGTAGGTTTTTTCCTAGTAAGGTTTTAACGAGGCATATTCTTTGTGTAATGTTGGACATCTAAGGGGGAGTGTTATGAAATAATATAGATGTCCATTTAGTTTCCCAAGAAGTTGATATTCTCCTAGTACATTAATCTTCTTCCTAGAACAACACAATGCATGTTCTTGAAAGACTAAGTTCATGAATGAGTAATTAATATGATTTATGTATCATCATCTTAGTTTGTATATAAATAGAGGTATTCCTACCTCACTTTGTGATAGCAATGAAGAACAAATGAAATAAAATTTCTCTCTACTTCTCATCTACCTTTTTTTCTCTACTTCATTAGTTTTATAACACAAACTAGCATTTACTCTTCTTCATATTGGCTTGAGGAATTCGTAATTTGCATTAGAGGTAGAGGTGAAAACAACTAAATATTAACAAATAGTTCATTATTACTCGATTAACTACTCAGTTATTCTTGACTCAGTAGTTCATTTAACATCGTTAGTTTTTGGTTCATAAATGAATAGCATTTAAGTCAACTTGTGCCCCTACCCTAAAACAAAAAAATGCTGAGCCTCTAATTCCATAAAGCGAATGTGACAAACCCCTCAATACTATAAGTCAACTTGTGCCCCCACCCCAAAAGGAAAAAAAATACATTTTAGCGCCTCCAGCAGCAATGAAGTATGCTAATGACATACTATAATTTGCCTAAATCCCTAAAATGCCTTCCCCCTTCTCACTGATCACACCCTTCATGCCCTTCGCAAACTTTAACCACGTCTTGTGCTCCAACGTCGGTGCCTAGCTCATCCTTCATGCAACCACCTCTTATTGAGCTAGCTGCCACCTGGTACCCTTGGGCTGCTACGAAGCCTGGTGAGATTGCGACCCCATTGACTCTTCGGGCTATGAATTCAAACTCATCACCAATAACGATAGGGGTTTTGTGATGTGACGACGATGAAGTTGGTGAAATAAACGAATGATAATCCCAAAACCCAACACAAAGCCCCTAGCCTCAGGATCAGCCCTCACAATCTTTGCAAACGCCTCTCTAATCCTCACACAATCAAACCTCGCAATATTATGCCCAGCCCAAAAACTCCATGCACGTGCTACCCATTTGATAAGATTCTCAAACCAAAACCAAAACCCAAACCTAAGACAAAATCGAACACACTAACCAAAACCCACAATTTAGCATATTGAACACTTGATCTGTGACATTTTTGAAGTATGGAGCGTTCTTTATCGTTTTCGTTATGATTCAGTTATATTAAATTGAGGCTGATGAAACTGAGTTTGTGTTGGTTAGGTATACGAGAGTTGAGTAGCTCTCAATCTCAATGAGGCAATGAGAGCAGGGGAGGATGGCTTCGAACTTAATGAGGGAGTAGTGTTGGTCTTGAGAGTGGAGACCCAAACCTAGAATCAAAATCAGCAATCGCATGAAAATTCAAGACAGGCCATGAGTGTGGTCTGCGCCATACCAGGGTGTGGCAGAATCTGCCGTGTCTATCATGGGTGTGGTCTGCGCCACACCAGGGTGTGGCAGAGTCTGCCCTGTCTGCCATAGGTGTGGTCTGCGTCACACCAGGGTATGGCAGACTCGTTTTAGAATCCTAATCTGTTTAGGATTGTGTTTTGTTATAAATAGAAACACGTCCCTTTAGGGTTTAAGAGAGAAAAAGAGCACGAAAAAGAGGGTTTTGAGGGCTCTTTGAAATTAGAAATCTTAGAGAGAGAGAGAGAGAGGCCAATTACAAGCATTGTAATCTTCTTCAAGTAATCAAAGAATTATGTAGTGTGACTCCCGAGTACGTAGGCACGTTGCCAAACTTCGTTAAATCTGGTGTGTTCTTTCTTGTTTACTTTCCTACAAGTTTTTATCTTTGATTTGTGGTGAATTTCTTTCTTGCTCAACTCTCAAACACAAGATCCGGAAGGGTACGGATTTGATTTGATTATTTCGAATCCCAACAACTGGTATCAGAGCTTCGTTCAGCAAATTTGTGAGAAAGAGAGCCATGGCAGAGGAAATCAAATCTAAGATTGAGAAGTTTGACAGTTCAGACTTCGCCTACTGGAAGTCACAAATAGAGGACTATCTGTACCAGAAAGACTTGTATCGCCCGTTGATGGGCAAGGAAAAGGGATAGAAGAAAGAGGAGTCAAATGGTGATTGGGAGATACTAGATAGGAAGGCTCTAGGACAAATCCGGTTGTCGCTCGCTAAATCAGTAGCCCATAATATTTTGAAGGAGAAGACGACGGTGGGGCTTATGGAAGCGCTCGCGAAGATGTACGAGCAACCGTCGGCAGCAAACAAGGTGTATCTCGTCAAAACTCTCTTCAACCTTAAGATAGCAGAAGGACGATCCTTCACGACGCGCCTCAGCGAGTTCAACATGATTGTTGATCAGCTTATCTCCGCAGACATCACGTTTGATGACAAAGTACAAGCCCTATTGATTCTATCGCAGTTATCGGATAGTTGGGCAGGTTGTGTGACGGCAATCAGTAATTCGGTGGGGAAAAAAGTTGAAATTGAGTGAGGTTGTTAGCATAATTCTATCCGAGGAGGTTAGAAGGAAATCGTCCGAATCAGAAAGTTCAGGTTCAGCTCTAAGTTTCGAGCAGA